TTCTCATTCTCCAATCTCGAGTGGACCTCGAGGCATATGTAGTACTCCCAGTAGTTGGTGGGTCGCTCCTGCTTGAAAGCCACCTTCCTGCCCGACTTGCTGTGAATGCCGCTGTATATGCAGCCGTAAGCACCTTTGCCTATAATCTTTTGCACCTCGAACCGTTCGCCGTTCACCTCCAGCGTCGACTGCGGCGTCAGGCGCTTCACATTACCCTGGAGCTGGCAATTGGGCAGCTTTTCGATGTACAGCGAAAATTCAATGGAGTCCAGCAGGGAATTGATGATATCCACACTGAATGGATTCACATTTTTGCTAGCCAGCGTGCTATTCAGTATGGACTCATCCATGCTGGGCTTGCGGTGTGTAAAGATCTCTTTGGAGCAGTTGCTGGCCACCGAATCCTGCCAGGCATTGTGCGACAGCTTGGGCGTCAGCGGCGTCTTTTTGTAGTAGATGCTGCGTTCATCATCGAGAGGAGCCTCCTGAACAACAATGTTTGGTATGTCCATGGAGGAGGAAGCAGCAGCTGGAGGTGGCATGAGAGCTGAGCTGGAAGCTGTTGCTTCCACCTTGCTAGGCAACAACGTCGAGTTCTTGATCATGCTTATGTTGCTGGCAAACATTTCCGTCGCTGCATTCAGCTCGAAGTATTCATTGGAATCCTTGCCACTTGATGCCGTTGTTGACTTTGTGCTGGACGCTTCCAGATCCTGCAGAAACTTGAGCTTTTTCGAACCTGCTGTGGATGAGGAGTTGACGGGTGTCGCTGGACATTTGCCCAGCGCTGTGCAGTCCTTCATAAAGGAAGCCGTCAGATGGGCTGGTCCTATAGTCTCCGCCTTATCCAGGGCCTCATGGGCTTGGGCTGCACCTGAAGGTGGCTGCATATGTGGCAAGGATTCGTCCAAGAATATTTCAAAATTCGGCGGCGCAGCTTGAGCTTTGGCTGTGAGCGGCTGTGGCATGAGGCAGCTGCTCAAGTCCTTCATAAAGGAAGCCGTCAAGTGTGCGGGGCCAATCGTATCCGTCTGCGTCTCGGGCAGCGTGCAGTCCATCATGGCCGGCACAGCTGGCGGCAGAGCCGGTGGCGGCATCGTCTCATCCAGAAAGATTTCAAATTTCTTCTTTGCAGCTGCCTGACTCTGGTTCTCCACTGGCAGCTGCTGCGGCTGCGTCTCCGGCACAAAGGACAGATCTGCCTTAAGGGATTCGGCTAGCATATCGACACTCGGTTTGACGGCAGGCAATGCAAAGCCCTCATCCTCAAATATCTCAAAGGAGCTCTTCTTGGGCAGCTCCAGTTGCTTGACAGATTTGCTGAATGCTTCGGGCGTGGCTTGATTACAAATCCGTTTGGAGTTGCCTGCGTAGAGGGGAGTGCCGAACGATTTTGGATTGGGCGGCGTCTTGGAGAAGAGTCCACACATGTCATCTTCGTCGTAGGACGTTGGCATCTCTGGGACTGGCTGCTGCAGCAGCTGCAGCTTCGATGCATTCGCCATGTCCGGCTGAGCCAATGGAAACTTGGGCAACGTCTCTGTCTTATCTTCCTGATAGCAGGCCATCAATGGCCTGGTCACTGTCTCCGTTTTATCCTCCTGGAAGCGCAGGGATTTCAACATTGGCACACTCGGCGCATTTGGTTCCCAGAGCTCGAGCCGCTCGAAATTGCCAGCTCCCGCTGCAGCTGCACTGCCAACCGTCGGCTCTTCGCCCACCACGGACAGCTCGCTGACCATTTGTCGCTGGAACCGTGTCGGGCCCGGCGTGCCCTCCATCGCCTGCTCTGATTTGTGGCTGAGCATAAAGGCCGTTGTTGCCTGCAAGCTGGGCGACGTGGAGGCTGTGGTCGAGGCGGTGCTGGTCAGCGTGGACTTTGTTGTGGTTGCGCCCATGCCATGCTCTGACGTTTCCAATATCGTTGACAATTGTTTGCGCAGCATGGGCGAAACGGACTGAGCAGCTGCTTCACCGCCCGCCTCATCGTTGCCAGGCAGCGCAGCAGGTGGTGCTATGGCAGCTGCTACTGCTGCTGCTGCTGTTGCTCCTCCTGCTGTTGCGCCCGCTCCTGCTGCTGCTGCTGCCTCTGGCGATGTTTCCTTGAGCAAAGTGCCAAATTGACGAGCTGGCGCCTGTTTCTGTGTCGCCTTAGGCGTGCTCACCGCCTGCGATTTAATGAATATGTTAAACATTTGCGTCGAGCATGTTTCGTCAGCATCGAAGAAGGCGCTGCCTGTCGGCTTAAGTGCAGCTGCAGGCGCCAGTGGTGGCGGTGGCATGTTGGCATCATCTTCGTATATCTCGATTTTGCGGGTGGGCGGCGGTGGCATCACCAGTTTATCATCGACAGGTGAGACAGATGCAGCAACAGCAGCAGCTGCAGCAAGCGATGTGCTGGGAGTTGGGCTAGGAGCAGCAGCTGCATCTGAAACATCTTCCCAGATTTTAATTGCAGGCACATCAGCAGCAACTTTCGGTGGTTCAACCTGCACCGCCTCCTCCTCCTCTTCTTTGTCCTCATCCTCCTCCAGCACACATGATACCCGCATCACACTCTTGCGACTCGTGCCCGGCTGCATATTGGGAAAGAAACTTTTGCGTCGCGGCATTTGTTCGCCTGGCAAACAGACCGTCTCCTCCATATCCATGACACCCAGTTTTGTGATGCGCTTCTGCCGCCACTTGGCCACGAGCAGCTCTTCCAGTTGATATTCCTGCTGCTCCACATCGTTGTAGATCTTGTCCAGCAACGGTTCTAGTGACGGCACCGCTGGCGGCTTATAATACGCATCCAGTTCATCGCGTGGCTGTGGCTGTGCAGAGCTCGCAAAGTTCGGATAGCGGCGCACGCCCAGAGCACAGTCGTTGCCCCACCAGGGATCATGGCGCAGCACAAAGGGATGCTGAGTATTGCACTGCTTGAACCAACAGTAGGCGCGATATTCCTCGGGAGAGAACTCCATGTTGGGACGTGGATAGAGCATGCACTTGTTATAGCACGGCAGCGTATTTTTATCCGGCTGATCTTCAATGGTCACGGGCGTAACCCAAGGATCTTGCTTTACATTCTTCGCCTTGAAGTTGGGCGGCGGCTTAAAGGCCTTCAGCTGATTGCCAGCGGGATCAACGATGGGCGGCAGCGACTTCTCATCCACGTGTATGGGAAAAGCAGGATCGTGATGTGCCGTGGAGGCGAAGATTTTGCCGTGCTTGTGTGGCTTGCTCCAGGCGATCGGCTCCTTCAGGTTCTCCTGATGACGTGCCGCATCGATAATGGAGCGGAGACTTGTCTTGCCCTCATCTTCCGCAACTGCTGCAGGTGGAGGTGGTGGTGGCATATTCACATCAGCGTTCTCATCGTTGAACACCTCCAGCTGGCGATGGGCATTACGGCTGGCCCGACTGGTGCTAGGCGCATTCTGGAAAGGCACAAATTTAGTGTGAAGGGAAGGGAATGGGAATTTGTGTTCTTACCTGCACTACACCTGGCATATTGCTCTTGATGGCCGCACCTGTGCGTACGCTGCCCACCGTAACGGTATTCTTGCGCTTCTGCCCATGCAGGGAACGCAAGGCAAGACGTCGATCGTTCAGCTCCTGTGTGACAGCCGTCGTCTCCTCGCCCTCGCTATAGAGCATGCGCTGGGCCACAGTATAACCGAAATGCTGTTGAGCCTCCTTCAGCTCCTCCAACGGTTGGGCGCGACACTCAACGCCCAGGCGAAAAATCTCATTGGCCTTGCGCATATTGCCACTGAGATCGTAGCTATACGCCCAGGCTATATAGAAGTCGGCTAGCATGGTCCCAATGCCGTTGTTATACATCTGTTGATAGCACTCGATCTGATCGCCCTGGTTGCCCATCTATATGGAAATATAACAACTGTCAAACTGAGTTATCATGCTGATAACCCATTCCTACTCACATATTTAATAAACAGTTTTATCAATCGCGGATCCTGTTTGTAGCGCTCGTCATCCTCGAATTTCGTCAGACACTTGTGCATCACCTTTTGCAATCCCGAATTGCTGCCACCAGCCGGATAGCTTTGTTCTATCCAGCATATGTACGTATACCAGGGCTCAAGCGGATCGTCACCATTGTAGTTCTTTATGTCCAGCTCCAGCTGCTTGCGCTGCGCACTGAGCTCCTGAGACGCATCTTGACAGAGCGAGGCTTGCAGCAGGCTCACGTTGCGACCACTTGCCAAGGGCTGTATATTCTCCTTGGCATTATCGAAATCCATTTTTCAATTTATATACTTCACTTGAATAAACAGTAAATAAATCAGCGATTAAATGCAAACAAAAAATAACAATATAAATCACGCGCACTAAGTAGAAAACGACGCTTATTTTAATTGAATGGCGGCGCTATTTTTGTAAACAATCGATATCTATATCGATAACAGTAAATAAATAGCACGGTACGCTGCAACACTTGCCTAGCAGAGTTATCAAGCTTTTCAATTTACTTTTAATTTTAAAAATAGTAAAAATATTATGCATTTAAATGCATATTTATGGCTTGCAAAAGTATTAATACATATGTTTAATGTATTTTATAATTAGTTTTCCTTATATGCGTGAGAATATTTTTTTACTGCAGCCCTGGTTGGGCTTTTGTTATTCCTTGTTCAAATATAACGGCAAAATGTGCTCATCTCATGAAGTTGACGTTAATTTATATATATTATTTTAATGTTGTTTAAAGTCATAGTCTAGGCACGTATATTGGTTGAAACTCTGAATCAATGAGCTAGGACGTAACCTATATTCCCGAAGCCCGTATAACAGAAGAAATAGCAACCTACACAAATTTCAAACGGTTCTAGAGCAAGCTAAACTCAAACTCGTCTCAAATTATCGATAATGTTGTCCTCTTCCTTAGTAATCGATATTAAATTTAAAAAAAACATATTTTTCGTAGGTATTTTATTGATTTAAAATGTAATCAGACAGTTTTATTTATAATACGTAACATAGGGTTTTTTTTTTAAGATTAAGTCATTATTTTAATAGCGACGATTGGAAAAGCTGCTCCAGTTGCCGCCTTCGGCGCTTTGGAAGTTGTTATATCTATTATTAAAATTGCTTCCTCCTTGATTGTAGCCAGCATTGCCTGATCCTTGGTTGTAGCCACTGTTGCGTCCTCCTCCTCGGTTATAACCTCCTCCTCCATTGTTGAAGTTATTGTTTCCCCCAATGTTGTAGCCACCGCCTCCTCTATTGTTATAGCCACTGCTGCCATTCCCTACATCACTATTATATCCGCCTCCGCCTCCTCCACCAAAATTGGAGCCGCCTCCAAAATCATTGAGGCTTCCATTTCCTCCTTCATTCTTGAAGCCGCCATCTCCTACTCCAATATTAAAGCCGCCATCTCCTCCTCCGTTATTGAAGCCTCCGCCTCCTCCTCCTCCTCCTCCACTATTGAAGCCTCCACTGCCTCCTCCATTATTGAAGCCTCCACCTCCTCCTCCATTACGGTAGCGTCCATTAAAGCGTCCGCCGCTATTATATCCACCTGTTCGATTGCCAAAGTTTCCTCCTCCACCTCCTCCTCCGAATCTGCCACCTGAACTATTGCCATAATTCGATCCACTGTCAAAACGTCCACGCTTAGCTGGACCACCGCCATCCATTCCGTCTCCGTCTCCGCTTACAGCGCCTCCACGCGACATATAAGGCAATACGCTCGATTCACGATGGAGCTGATAGTCTCCCGCATTTTGTACGCAAAGATCCCGGATGACACGCACCAGGCGAGCATAGGGCTCATCCAATTTGAGCACATTACCGGGATTATCGCAAGCAATGGTAATCAGATCCTCCAGAGCCGGCTTTAAGGCACCAATTTTAGCAGCATGTTCCGGATCGATGTCAAAGTTGAGCCAGTTGTCGACACGCACCACTCCATTGGCCGCAAGATCAATCTTACGGCAGCCAAAGATCATGACCTGCAGCGGCGACACCATGGACAGTTGCTTGCAGGAGACAGCGCGTGTGCGGATCTTCTCGCCGAAGACAAAGAAGGGATACGGAAAGGTGACAGCCAGATTACTGCAATTCACCGAGGTCTTGTGGAGCAGCGCTGCCTTCGATTCGGTGGTCAGCACCTTGCGCTTCTCCTTGTGCACACAAATGTTGGGATAGAGACCCAAACAGAGCAGAGCCAATGATATATCCAGCTCCGGATCATCTGCATTGGCATCCACTTTATGGGGCAGCATGCACTCCTCGGGAAAGCCCGCCTGGACCAACAGGTCGAGCAGCTGCATCTTGGCATCGTACATCACGTTCATCGTGGACAACTGCAGACCCTTCCAGTCGCAGAAGCGTGCCTCCTCCTGTTCGCCGCGATTCTTGGCGCTCTGCCACATCTGTGAGGCAACGATCATGGCCACGTGATCGGAGCACTTGCGTCCGCTCAGTGCCTTTTGATGTGCGGCCAAACGACGCTGGCCAATGTCGAGGGCAAACACCTCCGAGAAGGTGCTAGAATAGGAGGCCATGCTGGCCACCAGATCGGCGCAGCCAAAGACGGCGCCCAGCACCAGCATCTTGCCCAGCCGCGGCTCAATGGGCAGGCGGGCGAGCAGGCGACCCAGCGGTGTCAACTGATCATTGGCATCCAAGCAGCGCATCTCGCGCAGCAACACCTCTGCCTCGATTACAGCGTCCACGGGCGGCGGCTCCAATGCCTTGGATAGAAAATGATGAATTGCACCCAGACGCAAAAGCTTCACAGTCAATGCGATCTCATGGAGGGGCGTGCGGAACATCTCGGGCGTCAGGTTCTCCTCCAGCTGGGCAAAGCGAGCACGCGAGCACAAGGTAAAGCAAAAGCCCGGGCGGACACGTCCAGCACGTCCCTTGCGCTGCTCCAGATTCGTTTTGCTGGCCCACACGGTGGCATAGCTGGTCAGATTATTGTGCGAAGTGAAGAGCTTCATGCGTGCCTTGCATATGTCAATGACGAAGACGATATCGTCGATGGTAATCGAAGTCTCGGCAATATTCGTGGACAAGATGATCTTTGTGACGCCATCCGGAACAGGCTCGAAGACCTTGCGCTGATCATCGCGTGGTATCTGCGAGTGGCACGGCAATATGCGATACTGGGAATTGCCGAAATTTGTGGAGCTCTGCAGGAACTTCATCAGAGCGAAGATCAAGTTCCAGCCGGGCAGAAAGACGAGTATGGCACCGGGAATATTCTTGGATTTGATGTGCAGCAGCAGAGATTCGAGCAGCTCGAAGCTAACGTCCGACTCGGACAGCATGGCCATGGCGTTGCGTGTCTGCACGGAATACTTCTCCTCGCACACCTTATTCAAGTTCTGCTCACCCTCCTCCTGGTTGTCCTTGAGCAGCAGCTGCTCCTCATCGTCGGCCTCCTTGCGCTTGCGACGCGACTCAGCCGATGGCACAAAGCCTGTCATCTGTATGATGTCCTCCAAGAAGAACTGCTGCACTGGAAAGGCGCGTCCAGGCACCTCCAACACGGGGCAATCGCCAAAGTACTTCGAAAAGAGTGTCGTATCAATGGTGGCAGACATCAGGATGACTGGGAAAATGGAAAATTGAATATAAAATGAAATTTACGATTTCATAGAAGTTAACATACTGTGCAAGTCCGGATAGGTGGCCACCATGTCTCTCAATATGACCAGCAAGAAGTCGCTATTCACATCGCGCTCATGTATCTCATCCACGATGATGTGCGAGATGCCGCGCAGACCTGCCTCCAGCTTGCGCAAGAGCACGCCCACAGTGCAAAAGAGTATGGCGCCGTATGGGCGTGGAAATACGGACTCAAAGCGCACGGAATAGCCGACAGTTTCGCCCAGATTTTCACAGCGTTCGCGCGCAACACGCTCTGCCACGGATATGGCCGAAATGCGACGCGGCTGGGTCACATAGATGTTGGCATAGGCACCCTGGCCCGTGCTAATGTAATCATCCAATATATATTGGGCAATCTGGGTGGTCTTGCCACAGCCCGTGTTGCCACGTATAATCACCACCGGATTCTCATTGATGGCCAGCATGATCTCTGAGCGCATTGCTGCTATGGGCAGCTTCTCACGGAACTCCAGGAACTGTCTGTACTCGGCATTGTTCTGGCGACGATCGCGATGCTGTCGCTCATATTCCAGGGACAGTTGATCCACGGTGACATTGGCCAATTCACCCTCATCGATGTTGCAAGCGTGCCAGGCATTCCAGTTGGACTGCGGCGGTGCCCAGGGTATGACAGCGATATGCTCCTGACGTGCATCCGAATCCTGGTTCATGTCCAAACGACTCTGTGATACCTATAGCAAGATATAGAGAGAGATTAACAGAGATCTAGAGCAAGATCAGCTAGCACATACTATTAGCGGCATTGGAGCTCCATCGGGGTCCACCTTAATGTTGCGTGGACTAACCACCGGCAAATCGAGATCCTTAATAACTTCATCCATCTCATGAATGAGCTCCTCCCGCAACTTAACCGGATAGGGCTTTAGCTGCTCATCCTTCTTCTTCTTGAGCGTGCCGCTAAAGGCTTCGATCACCTTCAGATGGAAGAGCTGACGCACCAGCGAGAGGGCGCACGATTTGCTGGCCGATTTCTTATTCGATCCTGTTTCACGTGCCGTTACCTTGCGCTTCAGAGCCGGCACGTATATGGACAGCTCCGCCATGAAGCTCCTATTGTTGGTGAATGCGTTAAACAATTTAATTGAAGCATTTTATTTCAACTTCAAGATTCTTGCTCCCTTTTGTACACTTACCATCAAAACTTGGGCCGTGCTGTGCGCAATTGATGGGAACTCTCACATTCTCTCCCTCTCTCTCGTTTGCTGATAGCTTTCAGAGCGACAGTGCGCACATATATATTATATATAACTCAATCTCAGGGTTATATATATATCTGTATATATTGTCTGATGTTTGTTTCGATCGGTGTGTTTTGTATTTGTTGTGCCAGCTCGCTCTGAAAGCCCAGCCGCGTTTGTTATATGTAAGTACAGTACACGCTCGATAGGTGCAACACACTTTATGAAACTACAACTACTCTATACATATATATACATATAGAAGCATTAAGCGAAAAAACATAAATAATTTTGTTAAAGTAAATACAATTATATATATAAATGTAATTTATACCCTTGCATGAAAACTACCTCAAGGAACTTGATAGCTCATGTAAATATTTAGCTAAGAATTGGTATATAAACTTCTTATAACTGTCGTTTATATATATATGTCGAATTTAATCGAATCGCTAATATAGATCATAGGGAAAATTCGTTCTTTAAAGGGTATTTAAGCTTCGATTTACCGAAGTTCATTGAATATGAAAAGCAATTTCCAATCAACTATATTGAACTTCAATCATTGTGTGCACCATATCGAGGGCGCACCGTAGTTGCTACCAATCTATATGGCATATGCTACCAATCTATTAAGGCATCATTATACTACCGTATATGACAAATTTTGATACTTCTATTTTGTGTTCACCCCAACGAGCGTGTACTGTAGTCGTATGCTTATGCACAAATTTCAATGTTTCTTCACAAATTGCGCACAGCAAGCCAATCGTTGTCAACAACTGCGAGCTGCGCTCCAGATTTAGAACGAAACAAACGCTAAATCCAGTGCGCAGCTTGCCATAAACAAAAAAACAAAAAAAAAGTACAAATACAAATCATAATAGATATTCGGATGAATGATTAAGCCTGACGGAGTTATGGAATGATGTCGCCTGGCTGTGGTACGTACCTGGCATGGTCTGGTCCAACGGGCGTGTACTTATAATCATCTTTTATGTTATTCGATTGCTTATATATGTTCAAACGATCTTTGGCATTCTCAATAGTCCAATTGCCGTGAATAGCGGCATTTACATCAATTGATTCGGCTTCGTTCATATCCTTTTGCTCTTGGACATGGTCTATGATGTTGAAGCGATCGCGTCCTCCGTCATGATTGAGCGGACGATAGGCCTCGCCCAAATCTTGTGGACCCGACGAATCGCCGAAGAAGCGACGCTGCTGGCCACTTCCCCCGCGTCCAGCTTGGCCATCACCGCTATCAACTGCCGGAGCGGTTGGATCATTCGGCACGTCCTTTGCATTCAGTTTGCCAACGCGCACCAAATAGTTGACAAAATCACGCGAGGCATTCTTCTCGGCATCCTTTTTGTTGGTGGAATTGCCAACGGCCACATAGGGACACTGATCGACGCGTACTTCGCACAAAAATCGTTGGCGGTGTTTGGGTCCTAAACAAAAAAAAAAAAAAAAAAAAATCAATAATGCTTGCAAAATTTACCGGTTCTTGGAACTTTTTATGCACTTACCAATTGGTCGCACTTCGAACTTGGGTTCTGTTTGATTTTTGGCACAATATGAAAACAGAAATGATTTTATATCCATTTTGTGCAAATATTTATTTCAGAGAATATTAAATTAAATTAACACTTTTGACGAGCTCCGTTTCTAAATCGAACGCTTGTCAAATGAAGAATGAAACTACTGAGCATAGTAAATTCTCCATTATGGTTCCCCCAAAAGAAGCACTGATTCATTTGAACATATTAGCATCGTTCGATAACTTTATTATGTTAATAATATAGACTGACTTTATTTACATTTGATTAAATGAATCCAATAATTCCATATATAGTGCAGTTTTCCTTTAAATAGTATTGTGAACAATTTTACATTTAAATATTGCCTAAACTTCCGTATAAATGCAAAATAAACAAATATTGAAATGTAACAGCTGTTATTTATCGAAACTTTACAGAACTTCAATTAACAGTACTCGATTATTCATTATTATGTTGCTTTCCGATATATATCGGCATGCATATCTGCTGTGGGCACACACGAATCGATGCTATCGCTTTAGCAGTGCTATCGACTGTCGCGCAGGTTTTCATCGGGGAGCCATTTTCGCTGCTGCTGAAACTCGTAAATTAAATAACTTAAAAATGTAAAAGAAATACAATAAGTGATCGAAAAATATTATTATAATTATGTATGCATGTGCTTCAATAGTTTATCAGTGTTTTTGAATTGTTTTTTTAATGGTCGCGTTCGTCTTGTTGTTTGGCCATCAGCATCACACACATAGAGCATATATACACACATGCAGAAATTCAGAAAAATACGTACGCCGTCCGTGAGAGTGTGTGTGAATGTTTAAGCATTTAATTTAGTTAGAGAGTGCTGCAATAAATTATAATAGCTATAAACAGTGGCAGTGCGTGTAACAATAAAACGCCACAGCAGTAACAACAATACACACATTAATACATTAATTAACTGACGACGCGCTAGGCTCAACGCGCAGCAAGCATAGGCAAAAGAGCGAGAGAGATAAGTGCCAACACCCCAGTTGATCGCGAGTGAGCAAATAAGCAACAACAACAACCAATTGTGAACTGGTATGCGTGTGTGCACACATATATATGTATATATATATATAGAAAAGTGTGCGTGTGTGTGTCGTCCTCAGTATAAACAAACGAGTGCAATTGAATTGTAATTGGCGTGCACACAGCTGTGTGTGTGTGTGAGTGAAAGTAACTGTTACTCCACAACAGAAACAGCAACAACTTGGCTTCCATTCATTGCATTTAATACGTCACAAATTGTGCTCCAACTTGGACTTCATCGAATCTTCTGAACCCTACTCCACAACACACACACAAATTCGAAATGGGCAACTGTCTACGCACACAGAAACCGGACAACGATAAACCACATGCTGGCGATGTACGCAATCCGCTCGACGATCCCGGCGCCAGCATTGGCGTAGTCGGGGTCGGTGTAGGCGTACCGCAAATAGCAATGCCCATGCCCGGACAGCCGGCTGAGCAAATACGTCCGGTACCCCAGATACCAGAGAGCGATGCGGCCAATGCGAATGCTAAAATATTTGTGGCCCTCTACGATTATGATGCTCGCACAGACGAGGACTTGAGCTTCCGCAAGGGTGAACACTTGGAAATATTGAATGACACACAGGTGAGTGAATCACAATCACAGTATTAGAGAGAGAGTGAGAGATAACATGTGAGTGGGGTCGACTGTTTACTGATAACCCTTATTGAGTCAAATATCTTATCAAACTAAATATATTGTAAACACATTGATTCCATTAAAAAACATATATCCGATTGGATTCGGTTGAACTTTTTTTGTAACTATGCATAAATTTCAAGTTGATTTAAAAGTTTGTGAAAGCTTTAATTATTCGATTCGTTGAAGCCAATGCGCGCTCTGCCCAACGCTCTGCATGCAATTTTTCATGTTTAATCATGAACAGTTATTTTGCTTTTAGTCATGCAAATGCCATGTTCAGAGCTTTTTTTTTTTGTTTTTTTTATGCACATATATGTATATTTTGTGCATACGTCGTGAATGCCTAACGCTATGATGTCGATATAATTAAAAGAATAAATAGTTATA